TAGATAGATAGATAGATAGATAGATAGATAGATAGATAGATAGATAGCTACGTGTAGTTTTTAAAAATAATTTTTAATGTAAAACTTTGCTGTAGGAGAGATGGCTCAGGGTACTTACAGCTCTTGCAAAGGACACACTTTATATAGCTCACCACTGCCAGTAACTCCGGCTCCAGGCCTTCTCCCAACCCCCTCAGTTTTTATATTGAACACATTCACATGCACACCCTGGGCACAGGCATATAAGATAGAGTAAATCTTAAAAATATCGGTTTAAAAAAAATATATATATATATATATATATATATGAGGGCTCAGAAGTTAAGTAGGATGCTTGCGTAGTGTGCTCAAAAGCCTGGGCTTGTTTCTGAACACATGTGTACAGACATGTGCATGCACACGCGCACGCGCATACACACACACACACACAAACAAATACACAAAATTTCAGTGTACCTGTTCCCACTGAGAACAGTATACTGTGATGTTTTTGTCCTCTTTCCAGGGGACGGTGATGTTCTTCCCTGTGCTCTGTGCACACACTCAAGTGGTCCTCCTACATCAGATGCGCAGAGGAGGCTGTGCTGTTGATGGGCATCTCTATCCTTTACTGACCCTGACCACTTTTTTCTTTGAAATGGTGAAAATTAAAGACATAATCTTTTTAAGAAATGTTATGATTAATGGCCATACATACTTACTCATCCCCAGCACCATTGCAGTTTGGTAAGTGATGGTTTGCTAATTAGCAGTGCTGTTGCATGTCAGGGTTATTGTGCCAGTTGATTGAGTCAAATAAAGCCACATTGGTTTTTACTGCATTTATTTCTGTGTGTGTGTGCCACCAACATATGTGTGGGAGTTAGAAGAACAATTTTTGGTAGTTGAATCTCTTCTACCTTGTGGCTCTGGGTATCAAACTCAGGTTATCAGACTTGATGTCAGGCATCTTTACCTGCTGAGCCATCTTCCCAGACCCTGTCAGCCACATTTGAAGAATACCTTCACACATCAATGTTTTCACTGACTCTCGAAAGTCAGAGCTGGTAGTTTCCAAAGGAGGAAGCCAGGAGGAGCCTGAGTGAGGTCAGAAGCCAAGTCCAGTCCCTTCCCCCACCCCCCAAGCCTTGGGAGCCTAGGGAAGTGACCTCCTAAGAGGCCGTGGGCTTAAACCGGCTGTGCTATGTGGGTCAATATTCCAGGTAGAGGCCGCTCTTGTCCATGGGAGCGTGTTTATAAGTCGAGGAGCTTTGCAGTGGTGCCAGCTTCCCTCAGTTTTCACCATTTGCCTTTCCCACAGAAGCAGGGAGCATCCTGATCTGCAACTGTGGTGCCAGCCCTGGAAACAGCATTCAGGAGAGGGGAGAGCACATTCTAGACACATCCATATCACGGACACCAGGAGCAAGGACGAGTCCCCGAGCTATAGAACTTTGAACGGGGCAGTGGAGAAGCCATTGTCCCTGCCCAGGTCTGTGGAGGAGTCCTATATCACCAGCGAGCACTGTTACCAGAAGCCCCGCGCCTATTACCCTGCTGTGGAGCAGAAGCTGGTAGTGGAGACTAGAGGCTCTGCCCTTGATGATGCCGTCAGCCCCCTCTGTGAGAATGGTGACGATTCTCTCTCCCCTCGCTTAGGCTGGCCCCTCGACCAAGACAGGAGCAGAGGGGACAGTGACCCCAAGCCCAGCTCCCCAAAGGTAAGTGGCTTGCCTGTACTTACTCTTTACTTAGTGGCTGAGTGCTTGTAAGTTCTCCTCCTGGGCTAACCATATTGTGAAAGATACTTCTTTTGGGGGGAAGGAGGGGTAGTGGGTTTTGTTTTTGGCTTCTCTGTGTAGCCCTGGCTGTCCTAGACTCACTTTGTAGACCAGGCTGGCCTCAAACTCATAGAGATCCTTCTGCCTCTGTCTCCTGAGTGCTGGGATTACAGGCATGTACCACTGGGCCCAGATTTGGAAGACCCTTTCAATTATTTACTACAACACTTCTTAATAGGAGTATTTAAAATTTCTCATCAGAAAGTTTTTTTATTTTATTTTATTTATTTATGTATGAGAGCTTTGTCTGCATGTACTCATGCAGGCCAGAAGAGGGCATCAGGTCTCACTAAAGATGGTTGTTAACTACCATATGGTTGATGGGAATTGAACTCTGGTCCTCTGGAAGAGCAGCCACTGCTCTTAACTACTGAGCCATATCTCCATCAGAAAGTTTCTGGGTTTTTTTTGTTTTTGTTTTTGTTTTCTCCCCTGTTAAGATGGGTACAAAGTCATGGGACCCACTCTAACTAAAGGTCGTCAGTTCCAGGAAATCCAGGGGTGTGAGCATGGGATCAGAAAGTATATTAAGCAGAGAAGTTGATTCAAGCTTGTAGAAAAATAGAACTAAGCAAAAATTGTTTTTTCTTTAGCATTTATACCATAATCGCTCCTAGGTGCTGATTATTAGCATGAACATAGTCCAGTGTGTTGTTAGATGTAATGTTTTCAACAAAACTGTATGTTGTTTTTTTCCTAGCCCTGTCATGAGATGAGTTAGTTTCATTGAAGTACTTGCTCCTTTGAGCATTTTCCCCAGGAGCCAGCCTTGTTACTCAGTTTTTTGTCATGTTTAAGTCACTGTTCTGAGCCCCCGTCTCATGCCTGTGTCTCCCTCTGTAACTCTTTGTGAGTGCCGCTATGCCTGTCTTCCCCAAGTGAGGAAGTGTGTGGTTTCACACTGTTGCCCTAGCCACCCTTACTTTCCTAGACTTGAGCCTGTGGCCTGGCATCAGCAGCGTAAATGCATCAGCATGTTATTGCCAACAGGGGACATCCCAACTATGCTTCTAGGGTGTGGATTGCACTTTCAACCTATATATACCCTTGCCAATGTCTAAGCAAGTCTGGCCAGGGCGGTAAGGACAGCCTGTTTGTGGCAAATCACTTCCAAGCCTAGGTTCAGCCACTTTGGTTGTAGTTGTGGTGTGGTTGTCAGACCCATAAAAGCTTTCAGGATATTGCTTTGGGCACAGGAAGTTCTAAATGTTACCTTGAATTGTTATCATCCCAAGTAAATGAATACAAGTTTGAGATCCCAGACTGTATAGTAAAAGGCTAGCAGTCCTGTGCATTAGACAGATTTTTAAAGGAAACATGGTGTAAAATCTGGAAGTTCTTATTCTCATCAAGGCCACCTCTTGGTAAGCTGACTGTACACTGGTACTTTAATTCCATCTTCATGAAGCTTCAGAAAACCACATCCATGTTCCTGATAGGGGAAGTAACTCAGCAAATAACCACACGTTCACCAAGAGACAGCCAAGACTCACTAAGCATGACTGTAATACCCCAACCTTTCTTGGCACTTCCCCTGCTTTAGGCAGCCCTTTGGGTCTGAGAGGTCTGCTTCAGGCTGGGCTAGCTAGAGGAAGGAGGCAGGATTTTCTGAGCTGGCGGGTGCTGTCCTGAGGCCATGGCATTGGAACTTTAGTCACTGTGTGGAGGCGGTAGGAGCATGGGGAGCAGCAGCTGCTTTGTCAGAAGATTCTACATTGCTGGCCAGGGAGAATGCAGTACCTGTCTCCGCTCCGTGACTCACTGTCATTGCACGTGCAGGTGAGGGAGTACATTTCCAAGAAGGTCCTACCAGAAGAAGCCCCTGCTCGGAAGCTGCTGGACAGAGGTGGAGAAGGGCTGGTGAGCTCACAGCACCAGTGGCAGTTTAACCTGCTGACACACGTGGAGTCCCTCCAGGATGAAGTAACGCATCGGATGGACTCCATTGAGAAGGAGCTGGATGGTAGGTTCCTTTCTTGGCATCACTCTTGAACTTCGATTCCCATCTGCTGCCTTCTGAAGTCCACAGCCTGGCTGTCAAAGGAAAGCTGTCTTCTGGCCTCTTCAGCCACATTCTGTCTAGTTCTCCCCTCAGTGAGGACAAGCCTAACTTTGAATATTTATTAGGCACTTGGGACATCAGAGGTAACAGGGGTCTTGCTTCACTTGTCCTTTTCCTTCTGCGGTAGTCACTATGCAGGGCTAGAATCGTAGACCACACACTTAGCTTGAGAGGGAGGCCCTTTAGTCTCAGCACCACAAAAATAAGAAAGCCGTGTTCACAGAAGAGCTGGAGTCGGCTTGTTGGAAATGATCTGAGCACATTAAGTTCTGAGGGAAACTTGAAGCACTCGTTTTAAACTACTTTATTTAGGGTGTTTAGGCCTTAACCTCCTTTCTATCAACCCCCGCAACCCTAGGTAGGAGAGAGAAGGTTAGGGGGGAGAGAGGGCCCCTTTACTTCTCCTAGCTGTTTAGGATCAAGGTTTTTGGTTTTTTTTAGGGCTATACCAACCTCCATCAACAGCAAACACAGCTAGCAATCTTGTCCAAGTTTCTGCATTTCTCTCCATCTGTCTGTCTGCTCCAAATTGCCACCTCTCTGCTCCCCCCAAACTGCTACACAGCACACACCAATACCTCACGTCATACCACACTTTCTATTTCTGGGCTCTCAACTTACATCCTCTGAGTCCTAGACCATGTCCCACACGAGACAAGTAATAGGTATGGACAAACCATAGCCCAACTAAAATCCCACACTTGGGTTTAAAACAAAAACATATTTACATGCTGAATTTACAAAGAAACCAAAACTTCCATTACAGAAATTAAGTTTTTTTGCAGGGGGGTTTAGGCAGTGGCTCAGAGGTTAAAAGCACTGGCTCTTCTTCCAGAGGACCTGGATTCGATTCCAGCACCCACGTGGACATGGCAGCTCCTAATTATGGGTCTGACACCCTCACACAGACATACATGTAGGCAAAACCAAAATAAATCTTAAGAAAAACTTTTGGTGTGTTGGAGCATGAGCGCAACTTTGTGCCACAGCCTGGATGTGGCGGTCAGTCCTCATTATACTGGCTTTGTGGCAGGATCTCTTGTTCATCACTACCATAAGCACATTTCTCTGTCGGTTCTTTCAAGCTACCGATTTGTGATTGGTAATTAAAAGCTGCCACATTTGGCTTTATGTAGATTCTGGTTATCCAAACTACAGTCCTTAAGCTGGTGTGACAAGCGTGTTACCCACAGAGCCATCTTCCCAGCTTAGGGAATTAACCTGTGCTTTAAAAAAAAATTTTTTTTTGTTTTGTTTTTGAGCTAGGATCTCATTATGTAGTCCTAGCTGGTCCGGAATTCACTGTAGACCAAACTGCCCCCAGAGGGCTAAGAGTAAAGGTGTATACCACCATGCCCAGCCTTTTTTAAAAAATGTGTATTCTGGGGATCAAATTCAGGTCCTCACAAGGCAAGCATTTTACTGGCTGAGCTATCACTTCTAATTTTGGGCTTTGAGTTAAAAATGATTGTTTACTTATTATTACTGATTATTTGTTTTGATCGTAACAGCCTAGAGAGATGCTCAGAGAGTGAAAGTTTCTTCCTCCATGTCCCATCCCTGAAATCTACCTGCTGGAAGGAAAGAACAGAGCCCCACAAGATCCTCTCATCTCCGTGTAGGCACACAAAATAAATAAAATACAATTAAAATGTTTTATTAGACCCAGTTTGTAAATACTATGTTTTAGGATTCTGTGAATTACAGTCCAGCTATGAAGCCTGAAACTGAGACTATATAAAGCTCATACGTTAAATTACTCCAAGGAAAACACCGCCTTATACAAGCTTCAGTCATGAGGCATGGTCAGAACATTCTTTTTGGTTTTATGAGACCGGGTTTCTCTGTGTAATAGCCCTGGCTGTCCTGGAACTCTCTTTGTAAACCAGTCTGGCCTCAGACTCAAGAGACCCCACCTGTCCCAGTCTCCTGAGTGCTGGATTAAAGTTGTACATACCACGCCAGGCTCACGCTTAACTTCTCAGGGGGTGAAACCAATCAGAATTGACAGTGATTTAAAAAAAGGAAAATCCAGATCTTCTCTGTGTCTGAAGACACTTCATTTTCTGGCAGCCCATGGAGCTCTATTGGCAACATGGGAAAGCTCTGTCTTCAGAGCCTTCTGCCTCTGCTGGGCACAATAGCATTGTGTGGCTAGTTAACATAATTAAAAGTGAATACAATTCAAATGAGTTCCTTAGCTGCTCAGCAGCTCCTCCAAGGAGCCACTGCCTTGAAGGGGACAAACATTAATCATTCTGTCACTAACTAGGACTTGTTCAGGGCAGCACTGTCCTGAAGCATCTAGATTGTCATTGCTGTAACTGATTATCTAACAGAAACGACTTGAGGGGAAATTTGCTTAAGTAGTTTATAATTAATAATCCAGTCCGTGGTTGCTTGGTCTTGTCATGGTGGCTGGGGCATGTGGCTGTCTCTATCATGGCAGATGGGGATAGGAGAGGAACGGGTGGAGGCATAATTGTCAACGGTACACCCCTAGCAACCTCCTTCTTCCCAGATAGCACCACAGGCTGGGGACCAAGCATTCACCATAAGCCTATGGGGGATAGATCACAGGCAAACCTTAACATTAGAGCTCTGTGCCTTGTGGAGCAATGCTTTGTGGGGTGCTAGTATGGAGGCAGCCTGGGTTGCAGTGGCTCAGGCTGAGGTTGTTGTAAGTCAAGTTTGGAGCATTCACTGCAGCTTCTTTCTTCTCCCTGCAGTGCTGGAGAGCTGGCTGGACTACACTGGGGAGCTGGAGCCCCCAGAGCCACTGGCCAGGCTTCCACAGCTCAAGCATTGCATCAAGCAGCTGCTGACTGACCTGGGCAAGGTGCAGCAGATTGCCCTCTGCTGCTCAACATGAAACTGGGCACCCAAGACATTTGGAGCACAATCCTGGCATGTCTGCCAGGGGAGCTTCGCATATTTAAGTAAATAAACTTAGCATGCTGAATGCACGGGACTCTGACTGACTTCAGGGATTTGGCAGGAGTGTGATGGACATTGGGACAAAGAGACCATTTTGGCTGCTGGAGGACAGGGCACTCTTGATTTGGAAGCCAACCACGAAGGCAGCGCATAGTCTTAGAATCCCCTTCGGTGCACATCGTTGAACGAAGCGAGTCTTTGCACATCTTCACTTGGAATCGTGCCACTGATGATAAGCAAAATGAGAGCCAAAAAAAAAAAAAAAAAAATCTAGTTGGAAACAGTTGTAAATTCAATTTGCAGTTTATTTAATTGATTTTTGGGCCAGGTTGAGACATGTGCCAGCCCTTCCGGTTTCTCTGCCTGGTGGCGTGTGGGCAGCAGGCACCATTTTCATCTTTCATCGTCACTGGAACGTTGGGACTTCACTGTGCTGTGCAGTTTGGAAGGAGCAGGGCCCTGATGCACTGCTTCCTCAAGACTTTGTTTTCTCAGCATGGTTTCACAGACCAGGGACAAGGCTGTATGTTTTTACCCAGAGTCGGCTGGGCTGTGCCTTCGGCAACCAAGCGGAAAATGCTGAAGGAGGAACTAGAATCTTGATGTACTGAGAATCTACAAGGAATTCCAGAAGGAAGCAGGCAGGGTCTAGAACCCAAAGGACAGCTTTTTTTTTTTTTTTTTTTTACCCACTTATTAATTTCAATAGCTTCCCTGTTCTATTTAAAGTTAAGGGGGGAAAAGTTTCCCAAAAGTTTTGAACTCTTCTACTGTAAAGATTTGTTACAAAGAACGTGGGAATTACCTTACTTTATGTCGTCATCAGCAAACTTGAGGTCTGTGTGCCGCTTTCCTCCTTCTTGGAGGCTAGTGTAGTTGCCGTACACTTCAACACGTGAATGTCCTGTCTGTGTTTCTTTGTGAGATGAAGGTGATTATGCTGCTTAAGGTCCAGGTACAACCTGTTTGTACCTTTGGAGAGATATTTGTGTTATTTTACAGATTCTGGTTCCATGTGTCATTGCTATATTGTTTGGTTTTACCTTACTAGGCAAAGTTTGAAAGGTTCCATGCTTTGAGAACTTAATTTTTACCAGTTTTTGCATCACTAAAGGCAAACGCTGAAGTACATTTATCCATCAACACCCACAGGTTTGTCATCAGTTTTGGAATCTGTAATGCTCTAGGGCTGCAAATCTTTACTATGTAAACATCAAGGAGCCAGTGTCGGTAGCAACAGCAGCATCTACAGCTGCCTTGGGAAGGTTAAGCTTTAGGCCCAACAGGTCACTGTGGAAGTTTCAGGGAATAAGTGCCCTGTCTAGTGATTTGTTCACCATCTGATATAAAATCAGCCACAGGGCAAGCGTGAGTTGACCTGGCATAGCTTAGGAGCTGTGTGAAACATAATTAAGCCAACACAGTCCCTTACAAAAGGCTGTTTTCCCACTGCTCGCATTGATATTTCTGTCGTGGGAAGAAATGCTCAAGTCTACAGGACGTCTGTGTTCTGGATAATTTATCATATAGTAGCTGCATTTTGAGACTTGTATGGTGATTGTCTAAAAGGGGAAGAAACAAGATAACTATAGCTACCGCTGTGCAGGGTACGATGATTGTTATAGTAGATACTGATTTGGGACCTATTGAGATGGCTCAGTTGATAGAGGTGCTTGTCACCAGCCTCCTGACCTGAGTCTAGTCCCCAGGACCGACATAGCAGGTTGTCCTCTGACACACATACACACATATAATAACGGCTTTTAAATTAAGGTTTTTCTTTTATGTAACTACTCTTGCGTATGACATCTGGGGAATCTCTAACTTTGAAGGCAATCAATTTTGTGTCCTGTTGAACAGTGGAAGCAGAAACTGAATTACCTAATTCCGCCACTTGGTCATTACTGGGTTGATCATTTAGGTTTTGTGAAGGAAGTAACCTGGTTTCATCGTGACTTTTTGTTTTGGGGAAGCAAAGTAGACCTCCTCACCCCCATATTCTGATAACCTCAGTTCTTCCCTAACTTAAAGCCATGTTGAGGGGCTCCATTCCCAGTTCCTGGGTCAAAGTGAATTCAGCCCTAAGTTGGAGCACTGGAATCTGTTATTTGCAAACAATGCTGATACCATTTAGAAAGCTGTGCACTACCTAAGTTCTGTCTGTTAAAAAACTGTCCACCTATAGAAAGTCACCCTAACAAAGGAGTTCTGGTTTGATCAGTCATTCCTGAGCATGTATGCAAGGTGGATCCTGGCTGAGCCGACACTGCACTGTGGATGTGTATCTGTGTTTACGCGCTATAGACAGGAGGCACTGTACATAGTGTTGCTCTCAAGCAGTATCTGCAGAACATGAAAACTCTTGTGTCTGGAAAAAATAAAACAGGTTCTTGTTGCTACGTGTCAGTCACATATTACTGAAGCATAAAAGGTTTTTTGTTTTAGTTTGAAGGCAAGGTCTTACTATATGTGCCTGACTGGCCTAGAACTCTCAGAAATCTCCTGCCTCTGCCTCAAGCGCTAGTGTTAAGATCCTATGCACCACACCCGGTTGTTTTTTTCCTACAGTCTTGCAATGTAGTCCAGGCTGGCCTTGAACTTGTCATGTAACCCAAAGTTGGGCTTCAAACTTTGGCTCAGCGGTTAATAGCACTGGCTGCTCTTCCGGAGGTCCTGAGTTCAATTCCCAGCAACCACATGGTAGCTCATACACAAACTTGCAATCATCCTGTCTTGGTTTCCTGAGTGCACCACCATAAGAATCGAATGATTTACATTGCTTTTAAAATATGTACTACCGCCAGGCAGTGGAGGCACATACCTTTAATTCCAGCACTGAGGAGGCAGAGAGGCAGGTGGTCTACAAAGTATGTCTATATGTATTATATAATCATTATCTTTTTGTTTTGTTTTTCCAGACAAGGTTTCTCTATGTAGACCAGGCTGGCCTCTAACTAGAGATCCACCTGCCTCTGGCTGCCCCAAGTGCTGGGATTGAAAGGCGTGCACCACAACTGCCCAGCTATAATCATTATCTTGTTTTTGTTTTGAGACAGGGTTTCTCCGTGTAGCCTTGGCTGTTCTGGGCTAACTTTGTAGAACCAGGCTGACCTCAAACTCAGAGCTTCACCTTTCTCTGCCTCCACAAGTGCTGAGGTTACAGGCGTGCACCACCGTGCCTGACTATAAGAAACTGGAGGCATCAGCTCTTCGTGCTGCACATTCTGTCATGGCCATCACCTTAAGAGTTCATGAACCTTATCTTACACAGATGATCAGCATCTGTATATTGAGCCAAAGTCGAAGGCACAGAGACAGACGCCAGGCCTCCTCCTCCCTTTTAGTTACAGGACACTGTATGCTCAGGGTTTCGTATCTAGGTAACAATGAATGTGAAAGTAAAGGCAGTGAATATGAGAAGTGGGAGCATGGAGGGGCCAAAAGAAGTGGAAATACTGTAAATATAGTACACATACACCTCAAAAACATCCAGTTCCCTAAAGAGTTACCTAGGGGGCCTGGAAAGGTTAAGAGCACTGTCCTTCCAGAGGTCCTGAGTTCAATTACCAGCAGTGATGTGGTGGTCCACAACCATCTATAATGTGATCTGGTGTGCAGGCACACGTGCCAGCAGAACACTGTATACATAATAAATAAATCTTTTAAAAAAATAAAGTAAAATGTGAAAAAATATCTTTTTTTTTTTTTAAAGCTAGGTAATCGTTAAAAGCCACAGAGCAGAGATTATCTGCAGCAAAATTACTGGAAAAACAATGTACTGTCCAGATGTATTGACTCCAATTACTGATTTTTAAGCCACCAAACAGAAAATGAAGTGAGAGGGTTCATTTAGAATTTTTCTTGGTAACAGCAGTTTTGTTGCTTGATTTCGTTTTGGTTTTGAGAGGGTCTTTCTACACAGACCTGGTCTCAAACTCACAGAGATCCTCCTGCCTCTGCTCAAAGTATGAGCCGGGACACTTAGCTAAATGAGCTTTTAATAGGCCCAGTTATCTTACTGCTTAGTTCGCTCGATGCGGAGGGCAGCATGGGACTCCGACTGCAACCAGCGTCAACGTGGCCTTTTGCAAAACAAAGCTCTGGAGGCCTAGATCTAGAAAAATCAAGGTGAGAAGAGAATTCAAGCCTAAGGGCACAGCCCCTCGCATCCCCAGTGGCCCAGGAATAGCAAATAAAGGCCTTGCTCCCAGAATCCTCTGGGTATCAAACGGAAAGAAGCTCGGAAAACAAGTCCGACAAATAAAGGACGAACGAAAGACACAGCAGACACAGAAGCTGACCAAATTCAACTTTCATTAACTCGGGGCTGGGTATCAGTCCAGGGAGGCCCGCGCTCCGCCGCTCAGCCAGTGATGCGCACGTCCGCGCGGCGCCGCAGCCGCCGAGCCCGGGCCGCCTCGGGCAGGATGGCCTGCAGCTGCTCCTGCACCAACATCTCCACGATCTGCTCCTTGGTGCGGATGTCGGGCCGCAGCCACTGGCGGGACAGCTCCCGCAGCTGCCGGAAGGCTTCCCGGGGCCCCGCCGCGTCCTGGTAGCGGAACTGCCGGAAGCGCTGGCGAAAGGTCTCGGGGCCCGGCCGAGAGGGGCCGGGCCTCGGGGCGGCCTCGGCCCGCGGCGCCGCGTTCAGGGCGACCGGCGCGCCGGGGAGCTCCGGGGCCGAGCGGCTCGCGTGGTCGGGCTCGGGTTCCGCACAGCCGCCCGCCTCCTCCCGCTCGGGCGGCTCCTCGGCGTTCCGCTCATCCAGGCTGGGCTCCGGCGCCGCCATGACTACGGCTCGCGGCGTCACCCTTTGTCCCGCAACCGCGGGCCGGCTGCACGTCTGCGCGGAGACAGAGGGAAGAGAGACCCGCTGCAGGGCAGAGCCCGCGCAGCCCCGGAGGGACGCGGGCTCAGGAGAGGGCGCGGGCGGGCCGACCTTACCTCCACCGGCGAAGCTCCCCGGCAGCCGGAAATGGGTGACACTTCGTTCCCCGGGAGCCCGGAAGCCGCGCCCTCTCTCTGTCGCGGGAAGTGTGGCCGGAGGAGGGTCTTGTTACCTCTACATTTAAGCCCTCCGGAGAGTCCGACCGGCAGCTTCCTTAAGAAACCCTTCCTCCTGGAGCTGCTGCAGAGTGGGGAGGTAGACAACGAGGTGTTCTGGGAGACGGGATCGGAGTCGGAATCTGATTCCAGCTCGGCGAGTGAAGAGGCCGAGAAGGAAGAGGCTGAGGAGGAGGAGGAGATACCGGTGGTGGCGGCGCTCCCCCTACCGCAGGTGACTTGCTCCTGCTAGGGCAGATGCTGACAGTCCTGGGTAAATGCGGGTGATGGCTGGCCCGGGGCTGGTCGGCGGGGACGGCGGGACAGACTACTTTAAGAAAGACCCCTCAAGCCTGTAATCCTAGGTCTAGAGGCCACCCCTGGGCTACAGAGTGAGCCGGAACTCTGAACACACACACACACACACACACACACACACACACAACCTCTCCCCTGCTTACGTGCAATAGAACTCACTTTATGTTGTGGATGATAAAAATATTTGGGCAAGATACTTAAGACGTTTCTGGCACAAAACAAATGCTCAAGGGTTCTTTGTCATTCTTTTTGCTTGTCCTCGAAAACCAAGAGGAAATGGTTCTGTGGGCACTACCTTTTTAACTTTTTAAGATTAATTAAGTGGACTGTAACTAACAATAGCTATTAGCCACGTGTGTTTACTGAACCTTTGAAATGTAAAAACCCCAAAATTGAGATGCATTATGATGTAGAGTACACATGCGTCTGTGTAGGAAAAGAAAGAGGGTTTATGTTTATTGCGTGTCAGTATGTTATGTTATTTTGTATACGTAGGGTCAAATAAACTGTTATTAAATTTTACCTGTGTCTTTTTATTTTTAAATCACAGCCGCTCTGAAAATTATAGTATATTTTTGCTGAACTGCTGCTGTCTACAGTGTTGGAGTCAGGCTGTGTGGTAGCATTGTCTTTGCAGGGCTTCTTTGACTTAGGGCCCCCAGCAGTAAACAGTACCTACTTCACAGTTGGTCTGGGAAAGACGAGGCTTTAAAAAGTGTTTTCAGAACTAGGGAGATGGCTCAGTTGGCAAGTGTGCATGCTGTGCAAGCATGAGGGCCCGAATCTCCCCTGCAGCCACGTAAAAAACCGTGCTTGCCTGAGCTTGCCTGAGCTTGCCTATAGCCTTAATGTTGGGGCCCATAGGCAGGTAGATCACAAGAGCTGTTTGGTTAACCTAGCCGATGTGCAATAAGGAGAGCAATAGGGTAACACCTTCCTCTGGCCTCCTCACACACCTGTACATTCACCTAAATGCATTACACATACACATTTTCATTACATACATTGCCTACAGCTTCTGAGCTACAGTTTTTGCTTCGTTTGTTTAGAGACAACGTTTCTCTGTGTAGCCTTGGCTGCTGGACTCATACTGTAGACCAGGATGGCCTTGATCTCACAGTGATCCTCCTGCCTCTGCCTCCAGTGTGCTAGAATTAAAGACATGCCCCCCTCCCCCCACCGGCCAGTTTTCTTACGTAGAAAATAAAAAGTCTGGATGTAAGAACTTGAGTGAAAAAGAAAAAAGGAAAGAACATATTCCTAGGTATGGTGGGATAGTCTAGAGGGAACCAGACCCTGAGCTGTGTGAGGAGAGAGAGGAGGGAAGGGAGAGGGGGGAGGTAGGTGCTGAAGTAGGCAAGCCCAAAGGGTTAGGTAACCAGAATGGCTGGATTATATAGGGAAGAGCTGCTGGTAGAAAGGCAGCCCAGCCACCAAGCTGTAGAGTTCAGTGTAGGGGTTGGGGTATGCAAGCCAGGAGGACCCTGTAACAAGGGACTGAGGGATGCTGGGAGAACTTGGTGGCCAGTTTTACTTTGATGTGTTAGATAGCCACCTCAATCATTTGTCCCTGGATTTGAGACTTAACAGAACTAACCTCACTGAAATTTCTGTGAAAATTCAGAGATATTATGTCATCAAAGTATAATCTCTGACAGCCTCTGGCAGTTGGTATAGTCTGTTTTGACAGCTTGCTCACAAGTAAGTTTTGTATCTCCACTTTCTGGAAACGAAACTGAGCCTCAGAAAGGGACAGAGGTCCTGTCTTAGTTAGGGTTTCTATAGCTGAGACAAAATACCATGGCCAAAAATCGAGTTAGGGAGGAAAGGATTTATTACACTTCCATATTGCTATTCGCCGCCAAAGGAAGTCAGGACAGGCAGGACTCTGGAGGCAGGAGCTGATGCAGAGGCCACGGATGCTTACTGGCTGGCTCCTCCAGCTTTCTTACAGAACCCAGGAACACCAGCCCGGGCATGGCACCACCCACAATGGGCGGGGCCCTCCCCCACTGATCACTAATTGAGAAAATGCCTCAGTGGCTCTCATGGAGGCATTTCCTCAACTGAGGTTCTTTCCTCTCTGAAGACTCTGGTGTCAAACTGACAAAACCAGTCATTTTGGGCCCCACATGATAGGTTTTCAGTGATCTTTGCTGGCCCTTTGAGTTCTTTGCAGGGATGGTATAACAGCCATGTAACAAACAACCATCAGAATGAATTCCTGAGGATAAAATAGTCTTGCCCCTCCTTGGAGGTATAAAAGGTGGATGACCTCAATGTTTTTTAGTTGCTGCCCTGTAAGCTTGGAAGACTTCATGTGCCAATCTGGACTTGAAACCTTTTCTTGCTGGGGACTGGAAATCTGTATCTCTGCCAGTCACCAGTTGATCAGATAGCTCATCTCCGCTCCCTATTCTGAGAAATAGAATGGTGTTTGTATTTACTATTGCTTAAGTTGTTTTGTCTTTTCAAAAGTGGAAAAATAGGGGTTTCATGTTAGCTAGACCTAGCGGCTTCAAATTCTGTTCTGCCTGGTTTGCTGACTTTACTATTCTGTATAAACAAGTCTCAGCCCTGTGGTAACGGGCAGGGTTCAGTACCAAAGCAGCCCAGCAAACTGCCTCAGGGAAGAAGGGTCATGAGTGGGTTTGCTGGGAAATTAAAAACGAATTTTCTGGAGCTAGAGAGATGGCTGGTTAAGGGGATTGGCATGGGTGGCGTACCTTTAGTCCCAGCACTGGAGAGGCAGAGACAGGCAGATCTCTTGAGTCCAGCCTGGTCACAGAGCAAGTTCCAGGGCAGCCAGAGGTACGCAGAGAAACCCTGTCTCAAGCAAGCAAACAAAACAGAGTGCATGCTGTGGCTGGTTTGGTGGCATAGTCCTTTAATCCCAGGACTTGACAGGCAGGTTGATCTCTTTGAGTCTGAGACTAGCCTGGCCTACTTATTGAGTTCTAGGCCAGCCAGAGCTACATGGCGAAACCTACTTCCCACCTCACCCAGAAAAGAGAATGCATACTGTTTTCAGTTTTCAGCCCCCATGTCGGGTAGCTCGCAGCCACCTGTAACTTCAGTTCTGGGGATCTAATGTCTCCGGCTGCTGCCAGTACCTGTCCTCAGCGCTTGTGCACAAATGAACTCACTCTCTCTTTCTCACAAACACACACACACACACACACACACTTAAAATTAAAAAAAAAAAAAAGACACAAAGTTAGAGGTGGATATGGAAGAAGTTACTGGCAGGAATCGGGTAGATATGATCAAAATATACTGTATAAGTGTATGAAATTATTAAAGACTAGGAGGGAGGGGGCATGAGGGCAGGACTGAGAGAGGTCTAGGATCAGGCTGCAAAGAGCTTAAATTAATAAATAAATGAAAAAAAAAAAAAAAAACACCAAGGACTAAAATATAGTGAAAAATGAACTTTTCTAGAAGGTATTGCCTATACAAAGTCATATGGTGAGCAAAACCAAAACTTACAAATTGCAGGCTAGGTAGGAAAGTGGGTAGGATCTGGAGAAAGGCTGAAAAGTGAAGTTGGAAAGTTGGCAAAAACAAAACGATCCTTGTTTAGAATTTAGACCTTTTTCCTCTTGGGAAGGGATGTCTGGGAATCATGGGATTTGAATTTCTACTCCGTTGTTTTAATGCACAGTGGACTCATGGACTCCTTCCATTAGAGATGGAAGGAGGGACCTTAGAGATCCCATGGATCATGGAATGTAAGAAAGGTGGGGAAATGAGAAACTGAATTGAAAAACATTAAATTCATTTCTAAAGCCTTTATGATTTAGTCAGCATAGAGTCTGGGAAATTATCTCTTCCTAAAAAATGTGCATATATTCATATAATTTCAGGTAATTTCTATGTATTCTAGGATCCATCCAGAGGCTCAGATTAAATAAATATTACATATTATATAAATGCATGTGTAATCCTATTTTTCTGAATCTTGCAGGCTGAGAAGACATTTCACCCAAAGATGAAAAGTTGGAAGACTCTCAAAAACTTAGTAAGTGGTTTCATGAGAAGAGAAATTTTTAGAATGCTATTCCAACGTTGTTAGCATATTAGCCTTTTTGTTATAATTAGATTTAGATTGTTCTTAGAAAGGGATCGTAAATCATTAATATTTTTGTAGCTTCCAACACAAGCCCCAAATCTCAGTAAACCTTCCATAAATATTGATGAAATGAAAAACAAGCATGGATCCCATTCCATTCCTGTGAAGGGAGAGCTTGAGCATAATTCTCTGGCTTTTCCAGAGCTTTCCAAGTGTTTGGATTAGTGTCCTAGTTAGCACCATCAACTCAATACAGCCTATAGTTATCTGAAAAAGAAATCTCAATTGAGTGTCTTGTCGGGTTGGTCTGTGGGCATGTCTGTCCTGATGGTTTTAATTTATGCAGAAGGGCCTAGCCCACTCAGGGTGGTTCCATTTCCTGGACAGGTGGTTTTACACCATATAAGAAAGTTAGCCGAGGGGCTGGAGAGATGACTCAGCAGTTAAGAGCAGGTACCGTTCTTCCAGAGAATCCAAGCTCAAGTCCCAGGACCTAAGTAATATATAATGTGACTTATGGCCACATGGAATTCCAGCTCTATGGGGATCCAATCCCTCTGACCTCAGCGGGCACCTGCACTCATCCCCTCCCACAGATACACACACACATGCACAGAACTAAAAATAATAAATATAACCTAAAAAAAGAAAAGAAAAGTCAGCTCAGCATGGACCAGAGACTGAACCAGCAGACAGCATTCGTCCGTGGTTCCTGCCTTGAGTTCCTGCTCTGACTTCCCTCACTAATGGACTGTGTCACCCATAAGTGTAAGCCAGATCAACCCTTTCCTTCCCACGTTGCTTTTGGTAA